CTTAATAGTCGTCAGTGTACAATAAACATCGTCGTTGCTTTTGAAAAGTAATGTCCTGTGTAATGCTATGACCTTCATGTTGCCATGGTCTTTCCTCTTCTGAAATGAGGGCCTGGAAGTGGTGAGAGAATTCACTCCTGTAAAGTGAGATGATGACCGCCTGCCATTTGCAAATTATATCCTTCATCGCCAAAACATTAGAAACTGCTCTCATTTTTTGAATCAGTTGATCTGGATAAAAGTTGATGAGACATCGGCAGTAGCTTTCAAAAATGGCGTTAGGAACAGACTGTCGAACAACCATTGGCTAAAAAACGCTCAATGCGAGAATAGACCAGAGAAGCGCCCCAGCAAGGATAAGTAATATGCACGATTTTCCTGGATTCTGCGGTTCCAATCCCGGGAATAATATTACTTCTTCTCCATTCCTGAAATCATCTGCTGGACATCGTCAGGTTATTTTTCAGTAGAGATTATGACTCATCAACGTTGTTAGGGGCAGAAATTGTCTGAAAATATTTCACTGCTTATTTGTCGAGGATCAGTGCGGACAATGGCCCCAATGATTCAACCCGGCCTTATAAGCAAAATAGCATTCCTTTTGGAGGGCTTGCTTTAATGGTATGAAAAAGTCTGTCATCCCATTCTTACCGCTGCATCGTTTGCTAACCGTTTTAGGGGCAATAACAGATTCCACTGTAAGGAAGGGTACTCTACTGTACTTGAGTTTTCCATCAGATTCCTTACTTTGTTCTCTGTCTGTTCTTCCTGGCATTGGCGCCAATTTTGATTTAGAAACAGCAATGCATCTGGTGTTCCCCGTAACTGAACTTAGGTATTGCCGCTGTCCACAACGGGCAGTGACAAAAGCACCATGCCACATCAGAACGCTAAGCACGGCCAGATGCGTATTCGTGAGCTGCTATCGCTGCTTTGAGTGCTTGCCATGATGGCGTTGTGGCATAGTGTTTAAGACACTGGTTTAAAACTCCAGAGGTGCTGGGTTCTATTCCAGCGGAGGGCCGTGTTGATCTTAACCCTCAATTCCCTTGAGCAAGAAATTCGTCACACATTGCGTGTGACCACGGTTGCTCAGTCGATAAAACGTCGAACTCAGAAACGAGAGGGCCTGGTTCGAGCTCGATGAAGGGTCATTCCATTTTCTTCCTTTTCTAGGCCGATAAATCAGTACCCATCGGTGGGAAGTAAATTTGAATTTAGAATCTATGCTTGTCATTCAACTGATCTCATTTTTGCCTTTAAAACTTTTGCACTCCTGGCTGGACATGGAAATGGAGATCAGCGCCTCACAATCCACCTCATGAATTGAAGGGCCTGAGAATGGCTCTGTCATGAACGTGTAGGGAAGACCGGCATTCCAACAGTTACGTAATTTCCTTTCTTTCCCTGCCATGAATCTCGAAACCGCGATTGGAATCATATGTTGGCTACCTTTGTCTGAGAGTAGCTAGTTCACTTGCTTGACAACGATTTGCATACATCTTTACTGCATCTAGACGTTCTTTTCCGTAATAAGACGCATTAATTTGTTAAATTTACATATGATACGAAGGTTCCCTGAATCAGAGATGGTGTTTTTCCTAAATGCAGAAAATTTTACATGGTCGAACGAGCAGATGCGGTTATTCATCTAGTTTAACAATAACAACAACATCCATAGAGAGAAGAGAAGATAATCGCTATTCATAATACATCCTACCTTCTCACAAGAAAGTAATCTGATACCTCGCTGAACCTCACTGTTCGTGTTAAATTTTAAATTGTGTAACAGTAACTGTCTTGATAAATATCTGACCCCAGTTTTGGTAGTTTCGATCCGATGCGGAAGATATGATCGTCCAGTAATCGCATTATATTAGAATACACTGAATTTACATGTCATATTTGAAACTGGCACGGCTAGGTTCTCTTCAGTGCGAACATGGAGCGGAAGCCATGACTTTTTTACCGCTGAATGCCTGCTCTAAAAACTACGTTACGCTGAATCAGAAATGCACAGGGCTTGAAAAGATGCGCTTAAGTGGTTTTCCAGTTTAAGGCTGGGAATGTCGTTTGTTAAGTTTACTGACGTTTTACGAAAGAAGTGTAATTATGGAATGCGTCAGACATGAATAGCATGCCGAAAAATGGTGGTTCGAATCCGCTGCTTGGATTTACGAGCAGAAATCCGCAGGCTTTAGTGACGTGTACTTGTATGTAAATGTATTTGTCAATGACGGTATCTTATTGGAGGTTAAAGCCGTGCAATAGATAGCCTCGGCGAATTACAGGTGTCACATAAGGGGCCACTGTGAACATGCACAAGAGACCATGACCAATGTCATGGTGGACATTGTCGGCTTCCTGTCCAGAAGCCAGTGGCATGATTTCGGTCTTGCCGTTTATGGATGCCAGATAGATTTCGCAGCCGTCCGCCGTTTGTGACTGACGTGGTTCGTTCGGTTCGGTCGTTAGTGTCAACACAACGACTTGGAGCATGTCATCGCATCGCGCAGGGGCGTTCCCAACGTGGCAGACTTGTTTTTGCCAAAAGTTTTGTTTAATTCCTTATCGATTTTCATCAATAACTGGCAAAGGCACATTTTTGCAGGGCGTGGCCGATGACCGCTTTGACTTCGGCTTCGGCTTCGGCTTCGGCTTCGGCTTCGACCTTAGAGTAGAGATTCATTTCACCCCTCGGCGCGCGGAACCGGTTACCAATAACATATGTGCATAATTGTTCCCAACGATTTGCTCCCCGATTGTCCCAGAGGGGATTTTTAGGTCAGCCAGCGTTGCGAGTCGTATGTCGTAAACTTTCAGCTGGTTCGGTTGGTTGCCCTTCCAACGAAGATGCCACAGTACGAGAATATGACGAAGGTCCGACGACGACGACGGAGGTCATGTGATGACGGCGCACGCTGTTCGGGGCACGTCTCCGTTGATCGTCATCTCATATTATGGCCGGTTCTTGTCAGACCACAGATCAGCGATCTTTGGGTGAGTGGGATCAATGTTGATAACGATCACCATTCGACTACGTCAGCATTCAACTTGCGACGAACACCAACGGCAATTTTCGTTAAGGTTGAGGTTAATCATTTCTTTCAGGCAAACTTTTGCTAGTTTTTACAGTCGGAGAACTGCTTAGACACTTCTAACCTTCTTATTCTTCTAATTTTCTTCTGTGCTAAAAATCAAAGCATTTGGCCACTTAATCAAGGCGTTTGGTTGTTGTGTATGTGTATTATAGAAGCCGTCTGGTAAACTTGTACTGGCCTTGTACAAGTGATAGAGTTCGAAATGCGCGTGTTTACTCAAAGGGCTTAGAAGAGCCTCGGATCGCGTCCTGTTGAACCCCTCAGCTATGGACGTGCTTGTCGTGGTCCTACGACTTGGCGTTAGTCCGAATGGTGGCGATGACAAGACGCACATGGCTCTGGATGTGCTACTGGTCAACTCGGTCACTACCGGCCATGGTTCGTCACCGAAGGCGTCATCGACAAGGTGTCTGCCTCATCAGAAAATCTCCTCCGACCAGGATGCCAGTGAAGCGGCCGCTCGACTGGCCACCAGCGTTCTCGGTCTGGACACCGCTTGCCAGATCCGCAGAGTGGTCTCTGTGTCGCTGATGTACGACGAATCCGCGGTTTCGTGTACTACGGTCGACTGCGCCGTTTGCGGTTATGGCGCCGCGCTATTTTGCGTTCCGGTCATTGCGGGAGGTAGGTGTCTCTGAAAGCGTGCATTTGTTTCATATCTGCATAAATGCATTTGTTCATTTAAAAAAACAAGGCACAGTTCGACCATTCCCTACTTTCCCCTGCCTTTCTGAAGTAGAAAACGAAGTAGCACTTGAAGAAGAGGGCACTGAAGACTACAGAAGATATGTCCTTAAAGGCAACATGAACAGAGCACTGCTGACTGATAGCGTAGAGATCCAAATTACAGCCTCAACGTAAGCTTCGCGCAAGAAGAGCGGCTAAAATGGCACCCAGTCACAAATCTATGAGGGAAACTGGCATTCCAGCAGTTGCAGAACTTCCGTTTCTTTTTCTTCCCAAGTTGTAACACATCCACCTGTATTTACAGCACATGAATCTTCAAAAATTCATTCATGGTCAAACTGTGCATCGCCTTAAAGAAAAACGTACATAAGATATGTTTCGATGTGGGGTATAATTTGCGCCGATAAACATAAAAACATAAATAAACATAAACATAAACATACATACAACAACATACAACATACATACATACATACATACATACATACATACATACATACATACATACATACATACATACA